TGAAATACGAAATCCATTTCAAATGTCACTGACACATGCTAAGAAAGTATACATGCAATGAATATTCAAATCATGACAGAAAAGAACATAAAGAACAAGTGCACAAAGGAATCCAGAATCCAGATAGCAGACTAGTTGATTATGCCCATGCTGTCTCTGATATAAACTCAATTAGTATCCCTGTATAAACATTTGTATGCAGTTATGATCCAGTTAAAAGAACTAATAAAGAGCTGGCAGCCAGGCATGTACTTTGCGAACTATCCCTGCGTAAACATTTGTATGCAATCGTCATCCGGTTGAAATGAGTATAACTAAGATCGGGCAACCAGTCATATTTTGCTTTGCTAAATTGGAAACAAGGATACATCTTGGCAAATAAGAAAAACTACTGTGTAAGCTTAAGATGCCCAGAGGGAATGGTCTATGAAGCTCAAGAGCTAGGATTCTACTTCAGGAAAATTTTCAGAGTGATGCTTCTGATAATCATATTATACCTGGAGAATAATTTCTACCTGGAGAATAATTTTCTCTGGCGCCTGATAAGCATCCAAGAAGTGGCAAACATTGACGAAAGCCCACTGTTTACTGGCACTATCTTCACGTTTCAGATGATTCCACCCAAATTTAATTAGCTCTTTTCGGTGATGAACAAGATCATTCTGTATATATTTTAAAAGTAACGTAGCAAGCTGCAAAAGTTCAATCCTTAGGGGCTCATCGTATTCGGCACTTATCTGCAAGTATAGAAGGTTTTAGGATCTTTAAGCCACAAGGAAAAAAATACAGCACAAAGCCTGTCTAATAGATTGCACCATCCGAGTTAGAAAACACAAAGGAACCACCTCTTCTGGGGGATCTAAAAGCTTTTCCACAATTGTCTTTATAATAGTTTGGTCAATGACGTCCCAACTCTGGCCATTCTGAAATGCATGAGCCAGCATGGGAAGAATCAACATTTGCATGGAAACAACCAGGTGATCATGCCCTAGCTCCTTTGCTTGAAATAAATGCAAGAAATGTGAAAGAAGCGTTTTCTTCATTAGAGCAGGATAACCTTCAGCAACCTGCGGTCCAAAAGAACATAATTTAAGAAGCAAGGAAGACCATGATCCCAAAAAGATAAGTGCAAGAAACATACGCAGAAAATTTAAATGAGTATAACATGTAATAGCAGACATTTAATGTGTAACATACCTCAATGACATAGAACTCCTTCAAGAATGTGTAGTCAATACGAGTGTGCACTAGGAAGATTGATAGCATGTCAAACAGCACACTGACTTCAGATTTGTCATGCTTCAAATAATTAAGGAAACATTTTACCAGCTTTTTACTTTCTTTGACCTGCATTTGAATATAAAGCACAAAAGTAAATCATAAAGAATATACAACGAAGAAGTGTTTATCATGCAAATGCTGAAACGTCATCATACAAAACAAACAAGACCAAAGAATTCCAGAACCAACAGTCTACCAAAAATGCTGAACCAATATTTAATCCTTAGTGAGCCATGCCAGAAAAAGAACAAGTTGACCTCATAACCTGATACCAATATTTGACGCCTTCCACAGAAGAGTTCTGTAACTTCAAGGAATAATGATTGAAATTTTCTTCGGTCAATCAACTATTGCCACAAAAGTAGATTAAACAATATCTCATGTACTTTGAAAACCCCAACTTGCAGAAGGAACTCACAAACATTTGGGATCGACTGATTGTTTGAAAACCATAAGCTTCCTCAAAGCAAGAACTTAGTCAAAATTCTATCCAATGGAAAAAACCAAATTTCAATAATCAGGGCAAGTCAGATTCAGTTTGCCAAGAGAACTTCATAAAGCAGTCTTTTATGGTTCTAAAACTTGCCAAGGGGTAGAGAGTCAAGTTGCCAAGTCCCAATTCGACTTGGTAAGTTATAACACCATGGTTCAAACCCCAAGCATCCTCACACTTGAGTCAAGTTCCCACTAGACTGCCCTTTGCATAACAAATCTCACTAACTTTACTAAAGGGACATTGTCGCATGCCATCACAATCTCACCTCTCACAAGCTATTACCACCCTCGCAAGAACTCCCTTCCAGAATATCCCTATAAAGGCGGCAATTACATTTGCCATGAGAATTCGTAATCTAGTTCATTCATGCCACACATATGAGTCAGTTGGACAATGTGATTAGTATATCAAAATATTAGAAATCTTTGTACGAAAAAGGGTCTCCAATGGCCAATAACAATGATGCAGGATTCAAAACCTTAGATGCAGACAGTGTGAACGTGGCCACAATGCTTTGACATGGAAGCGTGATGCATTATGTGACTGCATCTGATAACTATGATAGGTTTCTGACGCAGACAGTCATGGAAGAACTTAGCTACTTCAAAGTGTGAGAAACAAAGTGTTGTGGCAAGATACAGTGAGGAAGCAAAGCACAGGGCCCAGGTCGGTAGGACCGTAACTTCTACAATGTGAAAGATGGCATGGCTCAAGCCACTCTCAGACACTGGCATCCAAGGGCACGATCTGAGAGCCACATAATCCAGTAAATAGTTAAGCCATCTACATTGCCTTGAACCATATTTCTCATGAAAAAACATAAGCTAGTTAGATTACCATTTCACACAAGAAAGGTGGTTTGCAAGAACATTCAAATGTCATACCTCAAGGTGAAAGATCAACTTGCAAGTTTCATCAACAAAGTAGTTTGTACATGCAGCTTGCAACATAATCTAAGCAAGTTGAGCATGGTCAACAACTTCAAATGCATGCACCAACATAAGGGCGAGTGCTAAAGATTAAGAAGTGGTTAGTTAGGCACTTTTCTTTTTTTATTTCTCTTCATGTTTTGTATAATTTGTTCCCAAATGTTTTTGCATTTGTTATTATGCCATCCAAGAGAATAACAATCACATGTTTGTGAGTGTGTTTAGAATTTTAATGGGTGTTAGAACTCTAATAAAAAATTATTTAATGTATTCTGCCTCTATACACTTCTCTTTTGACTATTATTCATGTTCATTAATGACAAAATTGACGTAGATGTATACTTCCACTATAAAAATAAGATTTTTCCTTACAGAAATTGTGCAATGAAATGATCAAAATCACAAGTGACTGTTTCAATATTGAATATCTTTAAATCCACATTACAAAATAGCCAACCTATATTATAGCAATAAAGAAAATATTTTCTAAAGAAAAAGATACAAAACCAAATTATGTAATCAACAAATCATAATTCTTACTTGGTCCAAACTCAGATCCTGTTCATTTTGTAAGCGAGCTAGTCTTGAAGGGGATTTCCAAACACGGACTAAGGTATCGAACACAATGCGGTTGGCATGCAACCAGTTGGGCATCAATTTTACCAATGCTGACACTAGAGTAAGCCCCTGAAAATAAGAATCTGAAATATCGCCCATGTTTGCATGAGTTTGAAGACCAATATTTTCAACCCCAGAACCTATAGAGCCATCATGCATGGGAGCAGAGGAACCAGCTGAGGTCATGGGATCTTCCACCTTTGGGAAGAACTGAGGAAATGCACTTGCAAGAATCTTCTCAGGTGATTTGGCAAGCTCATCTCTTAATGGCTGACCAGCTTCAGAACATACAATATGCAAGAACCTATTTGTACAATACAACGTAAGAAATGACTATTGTCTTACAATGAAATTGACATGCATGTTACATAAATATATAAGCAAATATTACCGCCTAAAGAATCTGGGCTGATTCAATCGAGCAAGAAAATAACGCACTGCATCCGTTGCATAACGATTTAAATATTTAGTAAGTGGGAGGCGATATGGACTGTTAAGCTCACTGTAAAGTTGTCCCTGGGGTAAAGCACCTTCCAAATCCATTGTAAGAACAACAAGATCATCAAGAAACTTTCCAGCAGCTGGAGGAAGCAGATGAAACAGGTCTATGATGGCTGCCACAAATAAGCACATCACTGGTTAGAAACACAAAAGACAATTGCTATAACAGACCAACAGAAACGCAATACTTACCAGCTGCTATCTTTGGTTCCTCTCCAGCTTTCCAAGATTTCTGACTCTGTGCAAGTTTTTCAGGCTCTAACCATTTTTTTAGGTGCTCTAGTAACTTATTTCCAAGTGTTACATTGAACCAGCTAGATAGAAGCTCTAGCAAACGAGCTAGGCCTTGCAATAGAGGAATTGTGAGACTTTTTGTGTGCGCCAAATTCACTAAGATGGGCCTGAGACTGCTCTGCAACAGTTCTTTGGGCAACTTTTGTTGCTGAACAACCTAAAAGATTCACAAACCCCAATAAGCAACTCCCTTGTTAGCTAAAAACAATGGACTGGAACATTAGCAAAAACTTCAATTTTGAAATCTTGAATCAAAACATATGACATAATAAAAAAACAAATGCAACTGTTTTATACATATCAGTCCAAGAAAATATATTAAACACTAGAGTTCAACAAACACCTGCCGAAGTCCCTCCTTGGCAACAGTGACAATTTCAGGTGTTCGACATGTCAGTGATTTAAAGAACATTGCAATGACCTTTGAACGAAGTTCAGCATGGTTTTGAGTCTTAAAATCGGCCCAGGCCATGGTAGTACAGAGCAGCTCAATGCAAGCCGTCCGAAGCTTATTTAGAGTCAAAGCAATCTTAGGATTCATGAATTTTCCAACCCATACAGCTTCATCAGCTTCAGCAACTAACAAAGCTTCTTGCAAGAAATTGACTAGCTCTGGCGTCAACTTCAAAAGCGGGGGCCTCAACGCCAGGCAAAAATTCAAGGCCATAACTGTTCCAACCTGAAAGTGGCCACAGAATCATTGAATTTTCAAGAACAAAATATACATAAAGAAATGAAAAGATGGGCAAAATTGACGTCCATTACATGATACATAACATTGCAAGTATCTCAACTCGGACAACTAATAAGAAATGCCACTCAATTTAAGAAGGATTTAAACGCCAAGCAAAACAAGCACATAAATAATATTGTTCAACAAGATAGGAAGACATATACCTGTTGCTCGGCATTCTTACTCCGGAGGGGACGCATAATAAGAGGCTGAAGCAAAGGAGGATATAAAGGTTCAAGCAACTCAGAAACCTCACTTCCTGTTCGACTAGCCAACAGTGCCAAGCATGACTGGATATTCTTTCTTACAATAAGAGATGCACTAGGATTAAATAATTCAGCAGCAAGGAACTCAACAACCCCTTGGAAACTTTGCCTTCGAGATTCACTGTTTGCCTCGTCAACATTGTTTACAGCACGAAGCACCTGTGTGAGCACTTGACTTGTCTCCTCCTGTTCTTTATTGGCATGTGCAGGAAGCCTCTTGAGAACATAGACCAAACCACGAACAATCCTCACTTGGAAAATGCAGAGAGTCTCAACAGTGACTTTCCCAACCAAGGCACCGAGACCCATGACACCACCAATCTGAGCTTGCCATGTACTTCCATAACAATTGTGCAAAAGACGAGGCAAAAGCTGCTCAAATACAGGGATACGAACACCAGGTGGCGGTGAGTACACAGGATTCATTGATGGACTAGAAATCATCATTGGAGTGCCAGGGCCGGCCCTTGATGTCATTATACCAGTGTGTTTTGAACGTGCAAGAAAGAGAAGGGTCTCAGAAAATATATTTAAAGTATTAAGGGCAGCTTTGGCATGGGCTCTGTTTTCATCAGCGAGCACATCCACAACAGCATCTAAAAATATCAGTGGGTCTAACTCTTTCAAGTTACCAGGACTACTTCTTGGTTTGGAACTAGTGTTACTGGCAGAAGCAAGCACAGAAACACCATGCTGACCAGATGTGCTGGGTGCATTTACTGTAGAGGAATAGTCTAAATGGAAAATCATAGCAAAATGCCGGCACACATTTACAACAAAATCATCATCTGGCTCCTGAAGATCAGGTTCTGCACTAGCTGCAATAATGGTCATTAACAGAACCTTGAAAACAGACTTCTCTGCCATTAGTTGCGTCTTGGTCTTTACACCCAAGTCAACCTGCAAAAAAATGAACCTGCTTAGAATATAGTAGACTTGCATCTTGCTGATTAGAAACATTATCATAGCACATTCTAAACCATGCATTCAGGTAAACACAACTGTTCCATTGTTCTGATTGGTGAGAGAGAGACAAGAATCCTATGCTGGTACTTTAATGTGATGATATAAAATGCTACAACCACAATGACCAAAAGGAAAGATATGCTCTGAACCTAAATGTGGAAGTTAATAATAACAATGACAAGGAGAAATGAATAAGTAAAATCAATGAACCTTCAACTCTGATGCTTCTGTCCTGCGGCGGGAAGGATCCACAGCTGAAACTAGCAATGTTGACAAAAGCCCAGGAGTTACCCCATCACCAGTTACATTCCCTTTCAAATTCAACAATGACAATAAACACACACGAAGGAGCTTGAGCGCATGCTTTTGATAAAAGGAATCAACACCAGGATTATTATGTATCACTGCTGCAACTGCCAGGTGTATGCATCGATCTAAAGGGACCAAGAAAGGTGTTGATGGCTCAAAGGTGAGTATAAAACGAAGACCATGCTCAGGATTCTCTTTGCACTCAAGAGCAAGGGGCTCTTTAAGGAAACACCTGTTCCGGCCTCCTAATTTACCAAGGAGCTGTAGAGCTTTTGCACCCCAAGGATAGGGTTTTGGTTTCAAATGAGACCATAATGCTAAAATCACTTCAGACATAACATTTGCCATACTTGGTTCCAAGAAATCTGGATTTAAACTATCAATCCAAAATTCAAGTGTGCGCAATCCTAAGCCCACTAACTCTTCACTCCCTTTGAGAGACAAAACTAGAGGTTTCATAAGACGAGGAAGGTACGGAAGCAATGAACTTAAGCGTGCAGGTAAAGTTAAGCAGAGCTCAAGAACCAGATCTCTCATATCTTCTCCAGTTGGGCCTTCAACCATGGCCAACAACATGTTAAGGCATGGTTGCAACATAGGTATTAAATCCCTTAACAAAAGCTCAAATTTTCCTCCAGTGATTGATCGAAACATAGTACGAAGGAGCTGTAAATAGCCATGTGGTTTTTCAACTTCAGTTGCATTCTTCACACAACATTCCATGATAACGGAGACATGTGGTTGTAAAACACGTTCACAATCTTGAGGAGCCTTGGAAATAGCTATAAATGAAAGCCGAAACAATTGCAGAACAAGCTTCGCAGCAGAAGTATCTGGGTGTTTAAGAGCATCAAGTTTGCTACTGACAAGAAAATTAACCAGAACATCTACGAAGTGCCAAAGGATTTTGGGGTTTTGCAGAAGGGTAGAGAATACATGAAGCAACTGGTTATTGCTGACCATGCACTCAAAAAGCTGAGGAAGGCACATCGCAAACATGTCCATGAGGTTTCTAGGTTCCATTACAACAAAAATTTGAGAAAATTGTTGCAACATGTCCTTTTCTTCATCTTTTTCCTTAAAGAGAGCCAAGCAATGGACACCTCTCTTAAGAACACCTGAGGCAATACGAACCTAAGCAAACCACGAGAAAGGCTTAGAATCATATCATCCAACAAAAAAAAAACAAGCACAACATATTTGTTTAATATATACCTCATCTTCCCTCATCCCTTTTGACCCATGAGGAACTGACATGTTGGATGATGGAGAAACCTGAACCTGTGGTGCACTAATATGAGTGATACTCCAAACTAGTGTCTTCATACCTGCACAGAAATCCTCAGCATAATCACCTCTTTTGTCGACAGCTAATGTGGGAAATAAGATCCCTCCATATATAGAAGTTTTCAAGTACATTAAAGAACAATTCAGTCAGATAACATAAGTATTTTCAAATACACAAGGCAATCCTAATCAAGGGTAACTATATCCTAAAGCAGCATTTGAACATTTGCAGGCATCAAGTGCCCCAGGTTGCAGTGAATACATTATTCTATTCAAATACTGGACAAAATATGCATATTCTAATACATGCATATACACACACACACACATGAGTGTGTCTGCGTGTGTCAGTAAACGTGAAGCTAAAGTTTCCAAATTTGGAAAACACACTCAATATAATGGCAAATGCCTGCCTTTTGGAGAAAAAGCATTGGGCAAGTCTCAAGACATTTCATTCAGAAATTAGTGCTACATTACTTACACAAAAAAAAAAAATGCTATAATAAAACAAGGCAACCACCAAGACTCAGAACTTCTAAATTTCTAGAAAACTGTGAGCGGTTCATTCCTTGTGACAACAAAGAAAGATGAGCGAACAGACACCAAAAAAAAATTTATGTTGATACACAAGAGGTAAAGCCCAAGTGATAAGAGGTATTTAGAGCCCCTCATGTGCAAATGATGAAAAACAAAATATTAACAAAAAATATGAAGAGACTTACCCATGACCAAAGTCTTAATCAGCTGTTTACAATCACTAATTTCCTTGGAATGTTCCAGGGGCCCCTGTAAATTAAGAACCGCCTGCAACAAAGTCTGGTGTCAAAAACAGTAATTGGTAGATCATAACAGCAATGAAAGTGAAAATCCAGCAGAAAACATTACTTTTGCACTATCAACCACATACTTGAGAAATCACCACACAATAGTAATTAACAAATAGAGCTCTTCCTATACACAAAAGTCTAGAATATTGCAATATCACTTATTCTTCTTGTTAACTTATTTTGTGTATTGGGGCATTTCTGTTATTTTTATATGCTTTAGGATACTTATTTTTATTGAGGTTATTTTTGTCCTTTGTAAACCCTAAACAAACATTACAAAGAAAGATATTATTGGGGCATGGGGTGAGTAAATCTCAAGTCACTCTCCCCTCTCATCTCTTTCCTTTTTTCTCTCTTCTCTCTTTCTTTTCCTCTTCTTTTCCCTTTCTCTCCAGTTTTGACACTTTTTACTGTTCACAGCCTGCTCACGGCACTACTCATGGCACGGTTCACACTTCACAGTACTGTTCATGAGTACTGCTCAGTTGCTATCAGAGCATTGATCTGCTAATTATCGTCTTCTCTCTTCTTTAAAGAAATAGCTAACTTTTTTTAAACCAAAAAAGAAAAAAGAAAAAGGAGAGAGGGAAAACCCTAATTCTATTAGTGCTGATTTCATCGAGAAATATTCATTTCTGTGTGTATGAGGCCAACATGGTGGGTGTATTGTGCATGTTCATGCCATTGAAAGGTTCCTCTCTTGGATGTGAACAGGAACAAGTGTGAAAATGCTGCAAGGTGTGCTGCAGGAATTGTGAATGACTTGTTTTTGGGTTTCATCGTGCGTTATGGTGGAAAGGGCTTTGTGCATCGGCTTTTAAACAGACAAGTGTTCTCACTATAGTTGATTGAGAAGTTATCATGTGTGCTCTCTGCTGTTTTGGGCTTAGTAAATCTGCAAAATGTAAAAAATAGGTAAAAAATAAAAAACAGGAAATTACTTTGTCTCCTTACTTTTTATGCATTTTCGGTTTTTTAAATTTTGGTTTTGAATTTTGACTTTTAAGGGCTTCCACCTATTGCAGAAGCCCTTTAAAGGTAAAAGTTAAGAGAAAATGTGAAACAGCAAAAAGATAAAAGGAAAATTCATCCACATACCCATGAGAGATGAATTATTTAAAATTCTACCCATTTGGCTTAAATTCAAATTACCCATCAAAATACACATCATCGTGACTTGGAATAGTTGCAATTGTGCAAAATGTTAAATAGTTTATCTCTTATGGTTTTTTAATAAATTCCCCACAAAAATAAAAAATTAAAAGAATTATCAACTATCTTTATTTTTTAAAGTTCTAACCAGTTTTCCCTCTCAAAACTCACAGGTTTTTGTTTGTTTTTATTTTCGATGTAGGGCTGCAAAATTGAAAAACTTGTGAAGTGTGAATTGTGTGCTTAATAGGTGATTTAGGTGTCAGGGTTGTGAATTTGTGATATGGTTATTGGTTGTCTATACATAGGAAAAAATGGTCTTCCACTGAGTATTGAAAGGGAAAATCAGACCCAGCATGTGGTCATGTAAAATAGGGTCCTAAAGGGAGATAAAAATAAAGCTGTGCAAAGATTGTGGCAAACAATTAAAGGGAGGTGAGATCCATAGGGTTAATGAGCATCTGGCCCACAAAATGGAGAATGTGGACAAATGCCCAAGGGTCTTCTCTCACATGATGTTCAAGATGCAAAAAGACATTCAACATCATGTGGTTGAGAAGTAAAGAGAGGCAAGAAATTGCCGATGACAGAGGGGACCTTTACCCAGCCTAGGATTAAGAGCTTTACGGTACTTATGTTAATGAGGGAGGACAGAAGGAGAACTCCTCTTCCACACCTTCGGTGGGTTACATCCTTCAGAGGACCATTGTGGTGGGATAAAGAGTTTTTTCCACCTCTGACAACTTAGCCAACCATAAAAGTGTATTCCCTAAGGAAAAACCAATAAAAAAGGGCATGTCTATTGCTCAGTGGCTTTATCACAATTCTATCCCATATGCCCTAAGCTCATTCTAGTTCCAACCTATATTGAACATAGTAGCATCTAATGTTGAAAAATACGGATCCGGCCGCCTAGTTGTCTGGGCATTTGGCCACTAGGCAGCCCCGTCTAGGAAATTTTGGGATCTAGGCCCTAGGGAAGCTGTTTAGAGAGGTTTGAATCCCTCAAAATGATCTTAGAAACAATAGTTTTTGAGAAAGAAGCGCAAAACACATTATCTAAGTCCCCGATACACCATATTTCATATATATATATATATATATATATATATCAAAAATGAACTTTCCATTGAATTACCTAGAGTCATCATAATCATCAGAGCCTTTGTCCAACCATTTGGGATCAGCTAAATAATGGAAAATTTTGGCAAAGTTTTATGTTGGCTGCCTACCTAACACTACCCACCTCCTTTACTGGGGCTTAGGATGGGTTAAGGGAAAGTTTAAGGTCCTCACCCTTCTTAGACTTAGTTAGAGTCCAAAAGTCAAATAAAAGAAAAAAAAAGAGAAAAGAAAAAGATGTCCAATAGGCCAATACCCATTTCCCAAATCAACATTCCACAAAATCAGCATTCTACAAAAAGAAAACACTAACATTCATGAATAGCACATAAACATTAAACAAAAAAATTAAATTAGATTAACCTTTTAATATGCACTAGATCTTGGCTCAAATCAATGACTGGTGAGAGCCAAAAGTCATCTTTCATAAGCTAATCAACCCACAAAAAGTATCAGGTTGATTGCTTTCAATTTCAAACGAAATCATAAACTTCGAGAAATTTTTCAATATTCAAAAGATCATGTTTTTTAGGAGATTTGATCTCAAATGCAAGCAAAGTAGGTTTTGGGGGGTTACAATGCCCTACCCCAACCCCACACAAACAAAAAAAAATTAAAAAAAAAGACCCTTTCCTACCGCTTTGAGGGGGGCATTGACATTTTTTGCCCTCAGTGAAGGGCATATTTCCACCTTCTCACCGAAGCGCACTGGGTGCCTAGCACCCTCCGAGACCCTTATGCAGGGGGGAAAGACCTTTGGCTGCCTAGGTGGCCAGGCAGCAGAAGTTTTTAACACTGGTAGCATCCATAGGTTCAAGCTATAAAGGCCCCTCTTATCATGATTCTTGGACTACATTACTTAAGAAGAATGTGGATAACATGTACATGAGGAAGTACAAATAACCACTCAAGGAGAAATGGTGAGGGAATGGTGATCCATCATGGCTAATGGGCGGAAAGATAATATAGACAGGTACGTGGTGAGGGAACTTCATTTCCTGGTACTCTAATCCAATACTACATCCTATTTAATTTTCATTTTCAAGGGATTGGTGGTCACAACTTGGTGGGGAGGTTCCAAACCTTCAGTTTCACTCTCTCTATTCTCGACCAAAGTTATAGTTCAAGAGGTTCTAAATGAAATTAGAGCATTTTCCAACGCGTCCTATAGATAAGTGAAATAAGTTTGAGCATAAAAGATAATATTTTAGTAAGTCCATAGTTGTATTTGTGTTTACACGTTTTTGATTTATAGTTTTCTATAATTTGGAATGTTGTTGGAGATAGGGCGATAAGAAAATCGAAGTGCACAGGTCTCATAGACTTGGAACGGCTTGATATCGTGGACGAATGGGTCATGAAGAAAACGAGGCCCGCTCTTGAAGGTCTTGAAGACCAATTAAAAAATTGCAAGGAGTTGGAAGAACCACCACAAGGAGGTATATTAATTTTAAATTGTTTAGTTATTTTTACTTTACAAGGAGGCATATTAATTTTAAATTGTTTAGTTCTTTTTCTTTCAAATTTATAAGTTTTAACTATATACATGTAGAAGTATGTGGATTAATTATTAATATGTAAACTTCCATATAGGTGAAGTGAAAAGTGAATGAGGATGACATAGAGTTCGATACTGTGGATTCAATGTCGAGGAAGAAGAGGAAAATCAAGGGAACGAAGATGATGACTTTTGATTACTGATTGCATTTGTTTTGATATTTAATTTGAGACTTTGTCTTTGAGTATAGTTTTCACTTGAATTTTGTAATATGATTGAAATTGTAAGAAACTTTTAAAGTCCATGGAATCATGGAAAGTGGATTGTGGACTTGCGAAGACATGTGGTGGAGTGTAGTGTTCTATTTATTTATGCTTTCAATTGTTTATATTCATGATTATGACTATGAGCATCTTGAATAATTGTTTTCGTGTTTTGAGCGTCAAATAGTTGTTTAGAGCAATGAGTCCCTGATGCTTGATGGGTAATTTTTTCTTGTAACATTTTTCAAAAAACATTTTACTTTTTTCTAGATTTTTTCTATTGCATGTTTCCCCTTTATTGGTTTTTTACTTATTTATCCATATTTTGAAATTTGTAAATTAGATCACCAGTCGAATCTGGCTGGTCTAACCAGACCGATGCCCTCATCGGTCCGATCCTAACAACAATGACTTTGAGGGGAGGCTCCTTTCCTATCACACTCCCTGGCCCTTACCAGGTTGGCAGCCAATCCTTGCATGTTAGTTCAAGATTGTTTGTGTACAGGGAAGGCTAGAGTGGTTTCCTCCCCTTAGGAGAAACCTTAGGGGAGTAGCTTGTGATATGCTATAGAAGTTGTTGGCTGATTTGAGGCATGGATTCACCCCCCATGCTGCTGGTCCTCTGACAAGATTGTCTGGATCCTTGATAATCCAGGTCATTCTCAGTGAGATCTTCTCAATCTTTCCGCACATAAACACCACACAAGTTCCATCCTGCATGAGTGATATAAATCCATACCAGACCACAAAGAGCGATAGCTTATGGGTTGCTGGCCATATTGGACAAAGATCATTTTGGTGATCGTCCACATCAAAAGGTTTCCGGTTCCGCAACATATGCTACTTAGGAAACTTAGAACTACCTCCTAATACGTAGTCTCTAAACCAAGTAGGTGTGGAGTTTTTTTATTATTATTTTTTAAAAAAAAAAGAAAGTTTGGTGTTTTTCTTTGAGATAATGAGAAACATGTGCATGTAATTGAAAAACTATTGACCCATAGGCCGAGCATTCAATACATCGAAAGTAGGGTGAGGAACCCCAAGTAAACCAAAAAAATGGGGCGGACCACAGCTAAAAGAAAAGGAGGGGCAGAGCTGAAACTAGCTAGTTCCTACAGTCCCCGCGGCCGCACCATCCGTGGCAAGCACATCAGTGATGGCATTGGCCTCCAGCCAAGTATGAAAAAGGCTACATTAATAAGCATGCACTAGTCAATAAGATGGCCAAATCAAACACTCGAGACTCCACAGGCATGTGGATGACCTTAAGGCCCAAGCCATGACATTCCCAGAGTGAGGAGTTGCCCAAGGAGGGGATAAAGAGTTTGATGCCTTCGAGGACAGAAATAGTTTCTGCATTGTTGAGTCAACAATGCCAATGAACCCCAAGAAGGAGAGGGTGTGTCCCTTTGCTCTAGCACCTTTCCCAACCAGCAACTCTTTGGTATATCGAAAGGAGGGTAATGAAAGGATCCTTACTAGGCACAGGCCGCGCCCGCATGCTCCTCCCCAACTCCACGCCCCACCCCTCCCCCCTCTCTCCTCCTTGCCCCATCCACTGCATGAGGATAAGAGATGTGATCATTTTCTAAGCTCTTGTACGAGCCAATTTTCATGGGTTGTGAGCTCAGGAAATCATCTTTGATTGGATAGCAGCCGCTCAAAGGCTGAAGCCAAGACCCAAACCACAAGTTAGATAGGCCCCCCTCCAACAGATATCATTAAAAGAACCTATGATGATCGCTTCCTCGGCAATCCAAGCTTTGGTGTGGGAGGAGTGTCTAGAGATAGCACAAGGACTGCGTTAATGTCCTTCTCAAACCTTGTAGGGACTTACAACTATGTCGAAGCATTGTCACTCCCCCAATGTTCAAAAAGGTGCAAGCGGCTGCATAGGCGGTTTGGGCTTTGAGCCGCTTAGGCGGGCGCTCAGACCCCAAGGCAGCTTGTGTTGTCTTTGTTTTCAAAGTTGGATCCCCCATACCCCCCCATTTTATCGTATATATTATATAATAATAATCAAAATTAATACTATTTTTTAGTTTACCAAAAAAATAATAATTACTATCATATGCAAAAAGTATTTTCGATAAATTAATAATTACGAATTAATACTATTTTTTGGTTTACCAATAAATTAATAATTACTATTACATGCAAAATGACATGTGGCATAAAAAAGTCTAATTCTTCCATATATTAATTAAAATTGAATTAATACTATTTTTTTGTTTACCAATAAATTAATAATTACGAATTAATACAATTTTTTAATTTAACAATCAATTAATAATTACTATCACATGCAAAAAGAATTTTTGACAAATTAATACTTACGAATTGATACTATTTTTTGGTTTATCAATAAATTAATAATTATTGTTACATGCAAAAAGCATTTTCGATAAGTGGCATAAAAAGTCTAATCCTTTCATATATTAATTACAACTGAATTAATACTATTTTTGGTTGACCAATAAATTGATAATTACTATTACATACAAAAAACATTTTCAATAAATTAATAATTATGAATTAATAAATTTTTTTTTGTTTACCAATAAATTAATTACTATCACATACAAAAGGCATTTTCGATAAATTAATAAGTATGAATTAACATTATTTTTTGGTTTACCAATAATTAATAATTATTATTACATGTAAAACGACAAGTGGCATAAAAAGTCTAATCCTTCCATATATAAATTAAAACTAAATTAATATTATTTTTTGGTTTACCAATAAATTAATAATTATTAATTAATACTATTGTTTGGCGGCGCCTAGGCACCTATCTTTTACACTGCCTAGGTGGGTGCCTAGCAAAAGCCGCCTAAGACAAGCCGCTTAAGCAGCTGGGCGGCCGCTTAAGCAGCTGAGCGGCCGAATTTTCGTTCATCTGTCACTCGTGACAAGATATGAGGTTTTACAAATACTCCTTGCCTCTTATCGTGGAAGGTGACTCAACATGTTATAGAGTGGGCATCTAGAGGCTCCCCTTCTTCATGGTATTTGGTAGATTATGAAGGAGATTCTTACTTGTAGTGAAGTCATCGGTTGCATGTTAGCACAAATCTACAGGGAAGCCAATGAGATGGAAGATAGCCTTGCTAAGTAAGGCACAAAATTAAGCTCCTTAAACATACATATGGCCTCATTCCCATAGACTTTAACACCATATCCTTGATAATTCCAATCCCTGGCCTCATGTCCCTTTTTGTACACTTGAACTTGAAAATGTGTTAAGCAGATCTTCTAAACCATGTAAAATCTTGTCATCATGATAAATCTAAACCATGTAAAATCTTCTCATTGTAATAAATAAAAAAAGCTAAACAGTCTTAGCCAGCCTTTCCTCAAAAGAAGTACATACCAAACTTAGCAGCAACTGGCTAACATTGGAGGAGGACTTTTTCTTTTAGTCACTAACATAGACGAGCTTAAATCTCCAAATCAAACAAGATCAAGTATAAATGAGTTTGAACAATAATCTAAATAAAGGTTCTAAGAATTAACCTGCACAGGAAGTTCAAGCTTCGATCTTAACGTGCAACGTTCTTTTCCATCCTCACCATCTTCAAGTAGCTGTGGCATTCAGAGAAAATTACTAAAACTTCAGTTCGCAATCTTCATAATTGATAACACATTCTTCATCAAAAAAGAAGAAACACCTTCATAGTTGATAATACAAATCATATCCAAAAAAGAAAAATGATAAATCCGAACATTCAAATCAGAAGTAACATGAATAATGAAGAAGGAGATGATAAAAAATAATAAACTAGTGGACCATGTTTAGGCTGTTGTTCCAAATTATAACTCAAACTAGTTAACAAAAACACAAAAAAGAAAACCATTAGTGAACAAAATGATCGTTGATCCATTTTCTCTAAAGTTTTGAGATTGAAGAGGTTTTTTATTTTATTTTTGGCATCCTCTGGCCAATGAAAAGACCATTCTGACGGTCAGGCTTTGGAAGATCCTCAACTTCATCCCCCTAAGAATTATCGACCTCGGAAGGTGAGGCCTCTCAGAAAAAGTGAGTGATCCATCACTTATAACAAACAAATTTGCATTCATGGGAAGAAGATTCTAGAGAGAAAAAAAAAAATTCAGATTTGCAGATTTAGATTTTCAAACTAAGGTTTACCCAAAGTTAAAAAATTTGCTGTCTTTGAGTTTTCAAGAGGAAAATGAATCCCGTGAGTTAGCAAGATGGAGAAACACTAACCCACAAGTTAGCATTTATTTTATTGTTCCCAACTGCTCAAAATTCGGGTTAAACCTTTTTCATTAATTCCATATTTGGGTTCTTATTCGAATCTTGAATTAAACTTCGTCATTGCCGGTCCCAAGCCCGGATAGAAAAGAGGAGGGCTGTGTTAGGTTTGGCAGCGAGCAGAGAACTTTTACCACATCCCTATTATGAATCTTGATCCAACATTATATGCTTATGCTAGGGCATTCCCTATAAGTGACATGTTGTAACGACACCTGGGTGCTGTGATAAATGAGCAAGGGTCTTATGGTCGGACTAAGGGTATGGCCCTTGGTAGAGCGGAATAGCATAATAGGATTCATGTAGAAAACCTCAAGTAATTAGGATAAAGCTCAGATGAAGATGATGACGACAATTTGAATATTGAATTATTTAGGCTCATCAAACACCATTTTGAACCATATTGAATTAACAAATTCAATATCTTGTATCCAATGGTATTAGAATATTACAAGCTTGTCAAACAAACCCTTGACGCTGCTAATGGCTTTTCTATTTTCTTTTAACTTAATATCCTATTTTCTTTTAATAGGATATTCATCAATAGTCTTTAATGCCTCCAACAGGTTTATATTGTCTCCAAAGCAGCACTTCCTCTCGATAAACTCAATAACTTTTTCATATTTTAATGTATATAAAATATTTTGCTTAGGTTTTTATGCCTATAGCATTCTTACTTTTCCAGGCTTAGGAGATGTTGCCTTTTGAGGGGAAGCAAGCATCCAGTATGGGGGTATGGAGCGAGACTCGATCAAAGTTCTAGGCGGACAAACTGCACATAGTGTGCGTAGGAGATGTCAAGAGGTATTAATCACCTAAGGCCAAAACATTACCCCACCAAAGCTCAGGGCATTGGTCAATCTCACGACAGTGTGCCTATTGATGATGAAAAATTCGGCCACCTAGGGCAGCCTTCCGAAGCGAAAGGGCCCTAGGCGGGCATGTACCTGAGAGACTGCCTAGGTGCCACATCCTGCGAAGGCACCAACCGAGGCAGGTGCCTTAACTGAAAAATCAAAACGAAAAAAAAATGGAAAAACAATGAGAGAGAGAGAGAGAGCCATGGAATTTTTGCAGTCTCTACATTGCATTTATGGCACTCTCACCCTCTTCATTGAACTCTCACTCTCCATCACAATTATGGCACTCTTTCTCTTCATTATGTAGTTATTGGAAATGTCTGTGATTCCGACTCATTTCAGGAATCGGAATCACGGAATTGGGGGTGTTTGATGATTCCTATAGCCGGAATTGTTGTCCGTACAATGCAAATCACGTGTGATTCCCACTATATCACGATCCAATAAAATCGGAATCGGCATCCTATCAATTTGGAATCAAGTTTCCTGCCTTTTTGGAATCGCACATCAATGCACTTCGATCGATGCCATCCAGAATTGCAATATAAAATAGGAAGAGTGATTCCTATATTGTTGGAGTTGATGGGACACCATCCAGAATTGTGATTCAATAAAATAGGAAGAGTGATTCCTATATTGTTGGAATTGTTGTCCCATCAATTTGGAATCGAGATCCCTACCATTCAGGAATCACGCACCAATTCAACATGGACTATGCCAAAGGTGTTATGCACGAAAAGATTTGAAGTTCTATATTTATAAGCTTGAAATCTGGACTCCGTATAAAAAGTATGATTATCCAAGGCTCCCATATTATTCGGATCAATGTCCTTTACAGCCACCCCCCCCCCCCCTAACAATGGTCTCGGTGTATTGAGTGCCTTTTAACGTAGCTCTCCACAACTAATAAAAACAAGGCCGAGCTCCATTAGGTATTCACTTTCTTAGAGTTTCTAGGACTCTAAGAACATAATATGTCGTATGTGTTTCCCATGCTTATTTTGAGGAAGAAACGAGGAACAACAACTTCTAACTAGAAAAGAGTCTTCAAGATGTGGACCTTGAGCTCTTAGAGCACCGTATGCTTCGATGCTTTATAGAAAAAAATTTAACATCGGGGTCTGTCGAAAGTGAGGAACCAAAACCAATATGTTGAATGTGTTTGTTTTCCATCTCTTGATGATGAACGAAAGATATGCATGTTCTCACTCGAAAAAGAGTCTCCATGATGTGGATCTCGAGCTCCTAAAGAACCATGCCCTTCGAGAATTTATTGAAAAACCCTTCCAACATCGGGGTCTATCAAAAGTGACAAACAATTTCTAGTTTCATGAGGTGGGTGATGAACTGGTTAAGTACTTATCGTCGATACCCACAAGGCTCAACTTGAAAGTGGAATACTTTGGTTGACACTTGCCTACAAAAGACATTAATATCATACTTTGCTACTAAATCAATAAATCTAGAAATCTACATATGAATCTTGATTCCGTGTTATTAGAACTTCAACTCCATGCTCATCGAAACATTGTTCGGTGCATCTATGAACGCCGGGTTTTGATGTTGGGAACCTACCTTACAAGATACATTGATTCCCTAGCCCTAAAAATTGGGATTACTTGTGCACCTATAAATTGCAAATTTTGTGAGATGAATCTAGATTCCCAACTTCCAAGAATCGGGATTCAAAAATATATTTGGAACCAGTGTTATCAGTTTGCTTTGCTTTGGCCGAAGAGGCAAAAGTCTTCGGATTTTCAGCCTATACTGAAGCTAAGCTCTGGTGCATCCGCTTCAGGCTGCCTCGGTCCGCTTTGTCCTGATTCGACCTCTTTGATCGAAGCACAAAAATTCTCTCACTAGATTTGAAATTAGAGAGAGACAGCGAGAGCCAGTGAGGGGATTGATTCCTTGTAGATCTGCATATAAATAGAGAAAGTATCCATACCCTATAATGCAGGAGAGAGCTAGTGTAGGGATAGATTCCTAGTAGATCTACTTATAAATAGAGAAAACATCCATACCCTATACGGTGGAGATCGATTCATATAAACCAAGGTTTAAAAAACAGATTGGTAACCCAGATCGGCCACCCCAAAAATCATGTCAAATTGGTGGATCAGCAATTTGGATCAGAAAATCAGCTTGATCAGCAAGATCTGGCATTAAAAAAATTTCAAAAAATCACTAGAATTTCTTAAAAATCTAGTTCTCTAGGTTTCCAAAAAAAATAATTCATTACATTATAGGTTTTTATTATTTTACTGAAAATATAAAAATACTAAGAACCTTTCTCATGCATGAGTATATGTTATCCATTACATTAATTTTATTGTCAAAATAATATTTAAAATGTAACTCATTGCAATAAAATGGATCTCTTTAACAGAAATTTTTATAGCAAAAAAAAAGGAATCATACAATAGTTTTGGACCTTTTGATTTAAAAGAGAGAGAGAAAAGATATGACCTTCACAATGAGCTATCATGTTTTTAATAACTAAAATGGCAATCGGGGAAAAAGCAATGACCCTCCATTTCTGTTTTCTCACCACACATTCTTTCGTTATTCCAATTTTTTTTTTGGCACAGTTTTTTTTTTTTTTAAAGTAAACAACCTCAAATTTCATATTAATTAAATCATTTCCAAAGTCTCGCCACTTGGTTATTATTACAAAATCTTCTCCACTACATGAGATATAGCAAGCAAAAAGTATACGTTGCCAAATAAATAGATCTAAAGTGTAATAATTAGTAGAGACAAAAATATAGAATTGGAAAACATAAATCTGTAATCGTGTTCTAATGAAATTAGGAAAAATAGATAAATAAATTTATGCTTGAAATGAGGAAAATGGATAGAGCAACTTGAAAACAGATTTTGAAGTGGGTGTATGGCCGCCTTTTCTGTTTTGAATGTCTGATGAATTAGTGCTAGTTGCCACAAAATTCAATTGCGCCAAAGTTTATCCACCCAGTAGAGAAGTTGCTATTGTCCGACAACGGGGACTTGAAGACACAAATGCTTAAAAAGATTATGGCTCATACAATGTGATGGATTGGCTACCACTCGTGCGAGGCAACCTAGCTAGCGCAACCATGGGTAGAATGAAAACATGAAATATGGGATGGGCTAAATAGAAAAAATTAAATAGAAAATATGAATTATGAAATATGGGGTGGTGCTAATAAAAAAATTCAACTCTTTCTAAAATCATATAAAAATTGCAATTAGAAAATAAAAACTTGAAAAAAAACGGCCAGTTCCTCATAGGAAAAAATTCAAAAAAAGAAAAAAGTGGGGCCGATTCTCTGACATAACCAGCAGGTTCTGTCACTGGCAAGAACTGGCCAGTTCCCGATATTTTACGGGATCTAGTTCGGCCCAACCAATTCCCGATCTGGATCACCAGTTTTTCAAACCTTGTTGTAAACTACTCCATAAAGAAGACAATAGAGTTTTGAATGGGAAGCGATATCACCCAATAACACATCACCATCATTAGGGCTTCGAAAGGTCAAATTATGACGGAAACGCGGATGCATAAGAGAGAGGCGTGCTCAAATCGTCTTGCCCTATGCTATCGAAAAAGTGATGAAGACAATGAGCACCATTGAGCTTTGTCAATGATTTTATGGACCATGGATCATGAGATGGTTATTGACTCCTACTCCTAAGAATGCAATAACGGGGTGCTATTATTTCGACGCATTTGATAGTAAAATTTTGTTTCGACTTTTAGACTAGAATAAGATGGGTCGGGATTGTGGGCTGAAATTTCATTTTATTTCAGAGTCGGAGGCCTAACTATGAAGGAAATCAAGCGAAGTTTGTGATTTCAAGTGTGCACCAATTTAATAGTGGGGAGAGTCAAGAGCTGCAGACAAAATTGTCTTCTTTTAATTATTTTTTATTTGAATATTTATTTCAAAATTTTTATTATTTAAATATTTTTTATAATATAAATATATACTTTATTTATATTAATCTTTTAAAAAATTCCAAAGACTTCCTCCAAATTGGCCGAATCACTTTGCTTCATTTTTCCGACCAAACCGAAGAAGGCTAAGAAACGAATCTGACAGCATTGTTTGGAAAGAGATTCGTGAAATTTAGAATCGTGATTCCTATCTTCCGAGAATCACTATTCTTCATGGAAAACTTGGTCTAGGATTCGGGTAGCTATAATACATACATTATATTTTGATCATCCATGAGTGGCAATTAAGGAGGAAAGCATAGGAGTACAATCCAATCAAGTCATATTCGTGGTTGATACAGTTTAGAAGTGGGTGGTGGAACATGAGGAGCAACTTCTGCTGAAGAAGGTGAGGACAAGGAAGAAGAAGGTGAGGACCAGCAAGGAGGAGGTGACCTGCCAACATGTGAATAGTTCGTAGGAGATATAGGTGTTTACGTACCTACAGAGGGATATGGCGAAGGCAATAGAGGGTAAATGGGGGAGGAGATGATTCCGACACCACCCAATTGCAACCAAGACAGCATCAACCCGCCCCATAGCTGGAGGGTGGGACAGAACACAAGGGATGGACCACCCTTGAGGACTACAAGTTAGGAGAAAGGTGGACCATGCACGTAATTCATTCAAAAGCCAATGGGGTGGTTATAGTCAGCATGGCTCTCAAGAGTGTCTCAACTCTCAGACTTGCACATCAACCAGCTCAACGATTTGTCTCAACAGTTCAGCTGAGGTATTCAGGATTCAAACAACTACGAGTTGGCTCATCATTCGTTTTGGTATTAGATAGTGTCTTTTGCACTATGTAACCATTCCTGACATTTGTTTGCCCTTGTTGATCCGTTTTAGTTTTATTTGTTGCGATTTAAACTTCATTTATACTGTGAAATGAATTATGGCACTCAGGCAGAATCAAAATCGTAGTATTTGCAGACTTTTTGTATTCTAATGGGCACTTTTTACAATCCCACAAAACTCAATTTAAAAAAAAAAAATTTCTTTTCTTTTCTTTTCTTTATTTTTTTTAAACTATACATGAACGTTGAACTGGCTGGATTGCAGCCCTAGACTGGCCCAGTAACGGGCTATTTCACCTGGCCAATCTGGGTTTCAAAACACTGTTATAACAAGTTATCCAACATCAATCACCCAGGCAGACAACCTATCCAGTAAAATGCTGAGCCAGTAAATAATAAGATGATTATGGCATAGAATTAAGTCTATAATTGACAAGTATTTAAACCAAGAATTAAGTCCCACATACATGACACAAGAAGTGCTTGACCAACCAAAAAATGTTAATCTAAAGGCTCACTCATGAACTGACAGCCAAAATTAACAGCATAAACAAAGTACACAGCCTTCAAAATGCTTAACAAGTGTTTAAACCAAATAAAGGTTCATTCTCTTCATAATAAGCTCCAAATCAACTCAGCTTATTTCCCTAACACATCTGAGTTAGGTTTCTTGTCTTTCTTATAAGATAATCATGTCGATATGCTGACCCAATGTAAGTGTGGATCTGGTAGCAAGAAAGAACCAAATGCATCTAGAACCTCAAAAACCTTCCACTAAAGCATGATTCTTTCATGGTGACAACTTAGAGGAATTTCATATATGAAACAGGTATGAAGGACTCAAAAAATAGAATGAAAACAGAAAATGATTCAGCTGACAGCCGTTGCTTTTAGCTTGCTCAAACAAGCTATTGGCACCAGGCATAAAACCGTTTCTAGTTTCTGATCTGGGACCTTTAGAGACAACTTCATCTCAGAAACAAGAGGTTCCATGTGGTTGCACAGGTTCCTTAAATATAGGAAAGGATGTTTCAAATTATAATTTTCAGTATCACAATGCTATTTTACAACCTTCTAACAATAGAGTTTAAAGAAGGGAGTATGGTGGGGCTTAGGGAGTAATAGAAGCAACAAACATCTAATGTAAACCATTTAGACAGAAAATAATGTAAAATATCACCAACTGGCATGATCCCTGAGCCACTCCCTAACTTATTCATGACAAATACTTCGTAATTTAACCTTTTGCAAACAAGATCCCAGAGGGGATCAAAAGAAAAACAACTAAACCAAAACATGCAAACGGAAGGCACTGAACAACAAGGAACCTAAAATTGAATAACAGCAAGGAAAGAAATTGTGATGGCACACAAAATACATCCAGCCATAAGCTTAGAAACCATAGTAGTCCATCTATAACTAACGTATACCTGAGGAATGGTGCGCTTGAAGGTGCCAAACTTCCCAACAAAAGCATCCAAAATCCGCCCCTGACAATCCACAATAAACATTAGGCATCCAATGTAAATATATCATATAAATGAAACCAACAAAATGAGTATGATAGCATTCAAAACAAGAAACAAACAAGAATCCGACAGTCACATCTAACCAGTAAAACCCTTCCTTCTTCCTTGATTTGTTGGTCCATGCCCCTGCTAAAGATGGGTTCCACCTATAAAGTGGTCAAAAGATAATAATAAACCCACATTCAGGCTCCTGAATCCCAGTACTATGTCTGTGCACAAGCACAGATCCAGCTCAATTGAAAATGGCTAGTAGATGTCACCGACAAATATGAAGCATATAAAGAATGCATTCAGACCAGATTCAGCATTAGCCGAGCGCAAGTAGTTTGAACACTCAGAGGCAAGGATGAATCATGCATGTTTCTCGAAAACAAGTAAATGATTCGTGACAACTGCAAAACAATCAAATCATATTAGAAACTTAAAATTATCCACAAAAGTAGTAGATACAAACCGCATCACCAAAAAACAAAAAAAAAAATAGCAAAACATAGCATGCAAAAAGTGAAAGAGATGCTATTTCAATAAGTAATAGATGACCACGCATGAACTGAAAGTCCACAATTAATCAAAACCTAGAACCAACTGGAGTATCATTCCTTTCTTTTTCTTTTTGGAACCATCAAACATACTTGGTGATCCAAGTGTTGCCCAATATCTGTGCCATAAAGACCAGAAGCATATCAAAAAATGTTGGCCAAAGGACTGCCAAATATCCAAGCAACTGCACCATTATCATGGAGTCAATCTTCCCTCGCACATTCTGCCACTCACTATTCCATATATCGTAGATTACAAAACATTGAGTAGTTTTCCTTTTTAGATATTTCCAGAAAAAAAAAATTCCAAAACACAGGACATCAGGCTCCATTGCAAACACTGCTGTGTCTGAGGGGAATACTACACTGAAACACCCCAGATAGGGCATCACTTAAAAATATAGAACAGCAAATTGCATTTACAAAAGCAATATATGCAAACATCCCACATGATCTCATTTACAAATATCACATCAATGGCAATCCATAAAGGTTGGATGTCCATAAAGAGAGACATCATGCATATCTAAAATGATCATAATCAACAAAGGACGTCAACCTGTGCAAGAGACAGATCCAATCGGACATGATGAATAAGCTCAGCAAGAAGACTGTAGGCCAGCGGTCTCAATGTCTCAAAACAAGCCCGACCAGTTCCTACTAGAACCCTGAGAAACACAAAGATGTGACAAATATTAAAAATTAAAATCCCACAGAGATAGTGTTTTAATACGTACAATCTAACCTAGTGAACAGGTCACTCAAAACAATGACAGACATCCTGGAACATTTTTACAGTCAGGGCAAAGAAATTCAAATAAAATATATAACCAAAACTCGAAAGCTATGATGTGCAGATAGTTGTACACTTAGCCTACCATGTCATATATTGTGGACACAGACACTGATATTGGCTATTTGTAAATATAAAATGAATAAAATACAATATTATGCACTATGATGGGCTTATTAAATCTTTTCCTATATGTATGTGCCTCACTAAGTGTACGTCCATGGGAAAATATCATTATGAAACCTAAAAGTCCCACTTATTCCATGATTACTCCCCACCTTTTATCCATATCAAGGAGCATTAAGTTTATGAATATTTACTTCCACCCCCTTCAAATATCCCTACCATTCTTTTTTATAGTAATCCATTAAGTGCCTTATTTACAGTAATCCATTAAGTGCCTCATAAATAACACCCGCATCCTTTCTCTCTCTTCCCTCTTTATTTCTTATTTCTCATAGCACATAACCTAACCCTTTGTGCCCCCCTTCTCTATCTTCCCACTAGCTATGATGGTAGAATGGAGTATGTTAGTGGTGAGTCGAGCACTCTTGTGATTCACTAAAACACAAAGTTGGGTTTATGGGTTTTTGAGAAATAAGAACAAAGAAGGAAGAGAGAGAAAAGATATGAATGTCATTTTGAGAATTAGTTTGGGCAACTTAATGAGGATTAAAATAAAAACTGGATACTTGTAAATATAAAATGCCCCAACTATTAAGATATAAAATGAATAAATACAATATCATACATTATGATATGTTGGGGTTACATATCTTTTCCTATGTATATATGTATTAAGATTTTATCTTCCTGCTAGCCTATGTTGCATTATAGGTCAGACAGCCTAGATTCACATATCCGAATGGCCCACATTCACCAACAGGGGTAGAATCATTTTTGTCATATTTTATTGTGTATGACTTTGAAATATTTTTCTTGGGCACTTAGTTTCAGCATACCCCTCCATAAAATTTCAGCTCAAAAGGATAAGTAAAAAGAGATTAAAAAAATTGAAAAAAGTGTCCCTATACAATGGCCATTGGATGTGCTCAGATTGAATAGGCCAACTGGCTCACATAACAGTTTCCTCTATATGCATACATACATACATATAGGCATGTGTGTGTGTGCGTAAAAACGATGAGGCCTGGCCACATGTATACCTTAGCTCGAAAGCCCAACGCCTAAGAATGATTCTGGGCCATTGGACACCAAGATGTGTTGCGGTTTTTCTTATGAAATTTGGGATTTGAATATCTTTGCAAACATTCATCTGGGGCATATTTGCCAATCTCACTTTTCTTATTAAACTCTCTTTGGCAAATAACTCCATCAAAGGCCACATCTCTGCAAGCATCAGTGGATTCAAAAACCTTTAATAGAAAATAGATAATAAAAACGTACGAAGATGGATAGTTGTTGAAGGGTAGAGAGATCTCTGAAGCTCTGAAAACCATCAGCCTCGAGGATGGCCTCTTGAGAGGCCATCCACCACTGACCCTTCCACCCCCTTACCATTGCTACACTCACCTCTTTCAACCACCCACATCCTCTTGCACCCTTGGACCACACCTCCCACTCCGCAGCCTCTCATCCTCCCCCGCCTCCCCACCCGGTGCTCGACCACGCCTCTGCCCTTAAAGCTTCTTGTGCTCCTATCGCTTCCCCAGCCCAAGTTCCCTTCCCCACTGCGGCTCCAACCACACCGTTTTTCCTCTCTATCAATTCTCCCTTACCCAGTCATTTTGCCTCCTCTCTTATCTCTATCCGTGGTCAACCTACCTCCTGCTTCAACGGAATCATGGATTCCTCCTTAGCCAGCCACTTCGCCCTCGCAGAGATGACCTCAAAGGGATAGAATCGTGGACCCGTAAACTTTGGCAAGAACCAAACTTCACGTGTTAAGTCCATGGAGGAGGAAGTTTCTTGTTCACCTTCTCGTCTTTCCATAACCGCATAGAAAGCTCTCCAGGGCAGCAAGCCTTCTTTCAAAGGGGCGACCCTCAACTTGACTACTTGGAGTAGTGGCCTCAGTTCTTCACCCAAAAGAAAGATTTGGCTGAGGGCTTTTGGAATACCTCTCCATGCATGGCATCCTAACATATTCAAGGCAATAGGAGATACCTGTGGAGCCTTTGTCTCAACCCATTGGAAGTCGTCGGAGTTTTTGCCGATGGGAGCAGTCCAACTCCTCATTGAGTCCATCGATCCCCATCTCATCCCTCTTTCTCTTTGGTTAGAGGTAGAGGTCCATTATTTCAGAGTGAGCACAGCCTGGTTCGACGCCTCAGCCCATACCACCCCCGGCCAACCCCGAGACCATCGTCGAGATCACTCAGGACCACCAACCAAGGACTACGGCAAGGGCAAGGCAATAGATCAGGAGGGCTGGTCCATGGTTGTCCGCAAGAAGGATAATCAAAATAGCTTCCAACACGGGCGCAACCGCAGCTCCAATCCATCTGTCGGCGTAAAATCCACCGATGGCATGCCCATTCTGGACCCCAAGTTCCCTTGCTCCATTGCGGATAGCCAGCCCTACCCCAACCCCTCCATCACCACCGTCCAAACCCCGACACCCATACCACTATCCGTCCATTCTCCCTCTCGGTCTGCCAAACCCACGCATGATGGACACGTCAACCCCTCCATCATGTCAACCATTCGAGTTGTCCCCGCAGATACTCGACAAGTGCCCCAGCTTGATAAGAACCCGTACAGGCCACAGGTTTCATCATTACCATCGAGCACCCTTTTCACTCCCATGTCGTACACCACCTCACCTACCCCGTCAACAGCTGGCAGCAGCAAACAACCCTCTTTCCTGGAGCTAGATCCAGAGATAGAATCTGCCCTCTAGGCAGATATGCCCATGCTCCCCTACCCAGCCCTCTCTCTTCGGCTCGGCGCAAAGAATCTGACCCCTCAACCTCTAGCTCAACCAATTCACCTCCCCTGCCCCGGCCTTGACCTCCCTCATTGAAGCAACTCATTCGGACTTTCTCAAGCCCATCAAGGTCAACCCATCCCTCATTCCGGCCCTGTAATCTCCCCCATCTTAGTCAATTCCCAAGGTCGCCTCACCACCGGCTTCCATCTCTTCTGCCCCTCTTTCCGTTTAAGTGCTCCATCTTTCCACCCCCCACCTCGCGTTGCCCTTGCCGGCGAACCCTCCTCTCTTGCAACACCATCCCGTGCCCCTCAAACCCTTCACCTGCCTGCAAGCCCAATGCTTGGCCTCCGTGGCTCAGCCCAAGACATTGTGGAAACCTCAGCCATATCCCTTTCCCCCTCTTCACCCATGTTTTCTGCCCCCGGTCCTTCGCACCTCCCTCCGGTGCCCATGCTTTCTCCCCTCTTGCGCCATCCCACTCCCTACCCCTCTCTTCTCTCCTTCTTTCGCAACCTGTTCCCTCGTTCCCCTCGCTCCCCTCACTCACCCATTCTTTCTTCCTCCCAAGTTTCCCCTTTTCTATCCCTGTTTTATGGGACCTTTATCTCCACCTGATCCATTCAGCCTACCCCAGCACCCATCCTTTGCCTCTATCCTCTTATCCCAATCACTCGTCCACCCTTTATCCAACCTATTCAACTCCCTCTCTGGTCTCGGTCACCTCTGAGCCCCCTCTTTCCCTTTCTTCCCTTCCCCCATCCCACGGGCACCAACCTGACTTTTTCAATCCCCTACCCCTGGCAACCATTCCTGCCCTCTCTCCCTCACCCCAACCATGTCCTCCTTGTCCTCACCCCGACTCCCCAGCCCTTCCTCTGCTCAAGACTTCTTGTTCTCCTTTCTTCTCGCTCATGCCCCCTCAAACTCCTCTTCTCTTGGGAATGCATCTCAGCAGGGGCCTTTCAATCTCTCTCCCTCTCCGCCACTCTCTAAAGACACAGCTCTCTCAGACCAATCCCATACTCTCTCCCCTCAATCAATGGATTCCATGTTCATGGAAGGGATGGACCAAGCCCAGGGAAATATCAAGGAAGAACTCAAGGCCATGGGGCTCAAGAAAAATGCCTCCGACCAGGACATTCAAGAATTCCTTCTGACCAACGCCCAGAGCAGACTCAAGCAGAAGCCTACCAACCGAAGGCAGCTGGCTAACTTCAACTGCTCCATCTCCTACGACAAGAGCAAATCCCCTTTTGCTCCCCCCCTACCCTTAGCAGAAACATAGCCCTGGTATTAGCAGAAGGTCACCTAGGAACATATCTTCATCCTTTCCCTAATCTGATGAAGATAACAGAGATTGGAATGTGAGGGGTCTTGGCCAGCCCCAAAAACAAAAATGTGTCAAAGACCTTTGCTCTTAATTCTCCCCTTCGGTTTTAGCTCTAATCGAGACCAAGCTCCCCCACCCCAATCTCCCCCAATTCCGCCAAGTATGGGGATCCAAACCATGTCAATGGGAGGTGCTCAAGGCCCAAGAGGCTTCAGGGGAATATGGGTCATTTAGGACCCTTCTCTTCACTCCATCATCCAATCCACGGTGAAGCCCTTCTCAGAAACTCTTTCCCTCTCAAGGGTCTCCGACGGATTTCTTTAGAGATTTCCGGCCATGTATGGCCCAAATTTGGCTAACCTCTGAGACACTTTTTGGACTGAATTGAATGAACTCGTGTCTTCCAACCCTTCCCCCTCTCCATGGTGCCTGGAGGGACATTTCAACATCACTCGGTGGTCTTAAAAAAGAAACACAAGCTCTACAATCTCGCAAGGCATGCTGGAATTTTCAGATTTCATCTCTAGAAATGAACTTCTAGACATCCCTCAAGGGGCAAATTTCACATGGTCAAATCATGCATCCAACCCTTCCTTGTCCAAATTGCACAGATTCCTCACCAATATCTTGTGGGACAAAGCCTTCCCTGGTGCTCATTCCCAAGACCATCTCAGACAACATGCCTTTATTACTGGAAACCTAGAGTGTAGCCAGTGGCCCTTCACCCTACAGATTTGAATTAGTGGCTCCAAGAGCCAAACTTCTCCTCCCTTATTTCTTCTTAGTGGGCTTCTTTCTCCACCTCTAGCCATGGCCGTGCTGGTTTTCACCTCCAACACAGGCTGCAGCTTCTCAAAGCTAGGCTAAAAGACAGGAGTCATCAGCTTACCGGAAATTTTTTAACTCGGAAATCTCAGTTGATGGAATCCATCCATCCCCTTGACCTTCATTGCGGAGACCAGGCCCCTCTCGCCAGAAGAAACTGTTCTTAGAACTCAATCTAGGGTCGACTACCAATTCATTCTCCGAAAGGAAGAAAGTTTTTGGCTCCAAAGCTCCAGATGGCTCAAATGAGGAGATAACAACACTACCTTTTTTCATAAAATGGCTAATTGCCGTAGAAGAGACAACTCTATATCTCTCGTCAAAGTTGGGGACCAAGTGTTCGACAGCCCCCCCCCCCCTCTCATCCGTCTTGAAACTACATAATTCTTTAGCTCCCTCTTCGAGGCCCCAACTGGTCCTCGACCCCTCATGGACGATTTGTCCTTCAACTCAATGCCCCTCGAAGCAGCAGCCCAATTGGAACAGCCATTTCAAAGGGA